GCACTCAGATATAATGTGATAATGATTTTTATTGATTTTAATGTTTTAAATGTGTTCAGTGTTTTGTAAGCTGCTGAGTCTCCAGTCAGCAGTTTTTAAATACTGAAAACAAACAATAAAATAAGTCAAGAATTTAGAGGATTCTTATCTTAATATGCTTGTCATCCAAAATGACATAATTATTTGTCAATGATGAAACTAAATAATTTACTTTGTTCATTATAATGTTTTTTCTGGAAGAGAACTTTAGCAGTTATAACAGAATAAAAAAAGACATAGTTTGTATATTTCTTTGTTGCCCTCTGGTTGTCATTCAGGTTTTTTAAAAGCTAGTTCATAGCTTCTTCCTTCTGTTCTTTTCAGAATTTTCCTATCCATTTTGAATAGAAGACTAACCCTTTTTTTTATGGTGGGGGAAACTGAGTCAAATCTCTTTATGACAAGGATTGTATCACTCCCATGTGAAGATGCTGCATCAGACAGGGGAGTTGTGAAATCCTAGTCCTGCAAGCAAGCTGCCATTCTTGAAACAGTCTGGCAGTTATTGTTGTGAATGCAGGATATCATTCCCAGGAAAAATGAATAATGGAGAAAAAGCAAGAATATTTAAGAAATAGGCTTTCTTTTGCATTATTGATTCAATAAATTAGTTCGGCTTGTAGCAATTGTCTGGAACGTGGCTCAGATTTTCAAAGTCAAACAAACTCACTTGGGATTCCAGGAACAGAGTTTCATTGAAAGAAAGCTTTTGCAAAGGGTGGTGGTCTTAAATTCATGCAGGAGATTAAGCCACACATACAATTTTTAAAATCACATATTTATACCCTCTCATGAAGCTAGTTCTCCCCCCCACCCCTATCACACTCAACAGCCCACCTGCTCATCCCGATCAACTAATCCGAAGCGCCTAAACAGAATACATTTCAGTTCATCCCCTCCCAGGAAAAAGCCAGTTATATTTTATATACCTGTTAACCATGACCTTTTGCTGACATTAGCCCTATCTTTATTTTTATATTTCCTCCTGCTTGTGGTTACATCTAGCTTCCTACAGAACCTACATATTTCAAAGTAATTATCCTGCATGTGTCAAAGCCCCTACTTCTAAAAGCTGAAGTTATTCCATTTTGCCATTATTAAGCTTACTCCTTAAATTTCAGCTGATCTTATTGAATGTCTTCATATGATACTGCCAATGTGTTACCCTTGCCTGTATATCTTTAAAATAGATGGATTTGTATTTTCATATATCATTAAACAATTTCTGATATTTTATCTGTTACACGATGAACAAAATGTCATTCAGGCCCTACTCATCTCACGATTAGATTGTTGTAATGCGCTCTACATGGGGGTAGAGCTCTACTCTTGAAGAACATTCGGAAGCTACAGCTGGGGCAGAGTGAGGCAGTGTGCACAGTTTTTGGGGCCCAAAAAAAGGCCTATGTAACACCACTGCTCTGTGAGCTACATTGGCTGCCACTCCACTTCTCGTTGCATTTCACCTTTATAGTCCTTCATGGCATGGGTCCTGGCCACTTGAGGGATTGTCTCATCCTACTAGGATTGGCTGTCCCACCTGTGCCAGCAGAGGAGGCATGCTGTGGGCCATTGGCCCAAATAGTCTGACTGGCAGAGTCCAGGAGAAGGGTCTTCTTTGCCGCTGCACCTGCCCTCTGGAATATTTTGTGTTCAATGGGGGACCATCACAATGGAGATGGTTGATAGATTAACAACAGATCCCACCTACCCTACCCTGCTCCAGCCTGATAGGAATAAGTGAATAGTCTTCAAAATTTAATATTGAAAGAGAAATTTAAAATTGAATTTGCTGCAGTGAAAACTTACTGAGTGGAGAAGCAACTATAATGGATAGGAAACAGGAAAGGATAGTATAAAGGCAGGATGTAAGATAAATACGTAGGCAAAAATTAGCTGGGTCTTAGAATGGGAAAGGAAGAAGATGAGCTATAAAAACATCTGTAAGAGGAAATGGCTAGCCAGGAAAACTTAACTAAACTGAAAAACAGGAAAGAACCTATTGTTCTAAGGGGCCCAGAACTCAAAACCAACAATTGAATATGTCTGATATTTTATATTATTAATGTACATGTGATGTATGATTTAGTATGTAGCAGGAAATATGAAGGAGGCGGTCGGAAATATTGTAACCTCATAGTACCTCAGCCAATGGGGAAACAGGAGGGATGTGGCGGCCGGGACAGGGCTGTATAAAGAAGGGAATATTTTGGGTGGGAACTTTGAAGAGAACCAAGCTCTGATAGCTTCTTTCCCCGCTTATTGCAATAAACGAAACAAAAGGCCTTCACTGTGTCTTGGCTGATTATCGGTCAGGAAAGCTTGCCTCTGATCACGAAGAAAAGTAGCCAGGAGCACATAACACACCCTCCCGATCTTTAATTGGGCTGCAGTGTTTGCTTTTGTATTAACTTATTTAGGTTTTAGTTTATAAAGTTTTTATCTTTTAAGATTTCAAGTCACCCAGAGTTACCTTGGTGTAAGAAAATGGCCAATAAATTTTATAAATAAATAAATTAGAAAAAATGAATCAATGAAATAACTAAACATTTTGGAGAACCTCGGAATGTTTTGTTTCTCTCAGGTGAAACTTCATCTAGACCAGTGGTTCTCAACCTGTGGGTCGGGACCCCATTTGGGGTCGAACGACCATTTCACGGGGGTCGCCAAACAATGCAGTCCGCCATTTTTCCCCCCTTTTCCTTAGCTGTGCTACTCCCTTTTATTCTATTGGCTTTTGAAATCCAATAGAATAGACTCTCTTGAATAGAATTTAATTCTATTGGCTTTCAAAAGCCAATAGAAATGTCCAGGCTGTCTCTGCCCTGCTGAGCCCGCCAAAAGCCCCAGTCTGCAAACGGTGCTGCAAGTTGTCTGCAACGAAGGCGAGCTGTCTGGAAGTTTCCACCCCTTCCTGCTGAGCAACTACTGAAAATGTAAGTAAAAGGAGGCCGGTGGGTGCAGGGAGGGTTGGTGGCGCGCATGGGGCCCGGCGGGTGCCTTACCTCCCTTGGGCTGGGCCAGCTGGTGGCCCAGCTGGTGGTCGGCCTGCGCTGTCTCTGCCACTTGCCAGCTACGCCACAGCCAGCGCAGGGGGCGGCACCACGCATGCGCGGCGCTCCCGGGCAGGGAAAGTCCTCGACTTACGACCGGTTGGGTAGTCCTCGACTTACGACCGGTTGGAGGTCGCAGCATTAAAAAGGTTGAGAACCACTGCTCTAGACAATACCATTCTGAGAGGTTGTTCAGGATATAGCAATAAATACATTCTTCAAATCAAAAATCTATTGAAATATTATGGACCAAAAAAGATTTGTTTTGAGGCTAGATCAATTCTAGCAATTCACTAGAACTGCTTCTAGTTCTGAGGTTTTGGTTTTGGAAACTAATGAATTCAGCTTAAAATAGAATGGATCATATCAAAATTTATAATGATACAAAAGAAAATAGGGCATTATAAAGTTTTCTGAGACAATCGTTTCTCGGATCGATAAACCATGCATGCCTAGAGGAAAATAAAAACATCTAATCTTTTATTCATCAGAAAAAGGAATTATTTTTCCTGTGTTATGTCCAGGAACAATGAGGTGATCTATTTATTAGATTTCTAGGCAGTTGCAATCTGTATGCATCTGGATGGCTTGTATAATGCAACAATAAAAACAAGGATATATAATCCAAAAGAAAGTATGGAAATAAGAAACAACAATAACCAATCAATTTATTTCTAGTCCTACCCCACTTTTTGGACATTTCCTGGACTGAGAAGTCAGCTTTCTGTATGTTTTTGGGAGACTTAAAAGTATCTAGCAGTTTCTTAAAATTGCTGAATGATTTTTTAAAATATATTTCCACAATAAATTAGCATTAAAAGAGTGCATTCCCCTAAAAATGCAATAAATATACGGTTCAGAAAGTTTACTGTTTTTGAATGTTATTCTCATTTATTTATAACTGAATCTACTTTTTCCTAATATCAGTTTTATTTTCCAAGACATAATCCACCCACTTCTACTGCATTCCTGTTTTTAATAAATCAATCTTCTAATTGTAGAGATTTATAAGTAGGAGATTACTTTCTGAAATTCAGTCTATTTAGTCAATAACAATAAAGAATCTTTTTTAATGTTACAAACCTTGCAAACATGAAGCTACTAACATTAGTGTTCCTGTATTGAAGATAATCAAAGAAAGGGATTGTTGTAAGGAATTGATTACAAAGTTCTAAGAAAAATCCAGTGGGACTTTCCATTAAACAAACAACTTAAAATTATAAATGTATTTTTAAAATCTGCAGCGTGCATGCATCACATGGTGATTCACACGTGTGATCCAGTTGAATAGCTTAGTCTCATTGCAGCTAGTTTAAATAGGAATGTGCTCTTCTTACCCGAGTATAAATACATAAATATAGGGTAGAGTGAAACACTTCATTTTATAGGTTATTTCCCAGATGTAGCTGTTTATAAATTCAAACAAACATCCAGTGACAGAGTTATACTAAATCTATTATTTTAACTTTTGGGAAAAATAAACCTGCCAAATCGTGCCCAAAGTAGTTGACCACCCCAGCTTTCCTGTGTAATAAAATATATGTTTAGTAGGAATTGGGGAACTGACAAAAAATGGAACTTCGCTAATCTACAAAGCATTGGTATATTCTAAAATTAGGATTGATTCCGTTTTAAATTTCGTTAGAAGTCGCTCGCAGAAAACCCTTTTATACTCTCCGTTCTCATGCCAGTCTAATGGCAATGACCTGGAATGATCCACTGAACTGCATATAGCAGTTCGGTTTTTGAATATGCGATTTTTTAAAAAAATAAAATTATTACTCCAAGTAAGTTATACATTACAAAGACTTAAGAAACGATTTATATATTGCCGCGCCTTGTTTAAATGGACTAGTTTCACCTCTACACCGGAACTAAAAAAAATGAACCCGGATGAGCTATAAATTAAAATAATCATTTTTATACACATATATCTCAGCTTTTTGGCGATTTTCATATCTATATGAGTTTTTGCCCATTCATGGGAACATATTGCAATAATAGCCTACATTACAAAGGTAGATCGAACCAGGGAAGAGAAATCTCGATTGATGCGGAAGTTTTAGGTGGTTTTTCTTCTAGGCAATGGGGCGGAGTCGAGACACTTAGCCATGAAAGGAAAATGGCGACGCTCGTGTTGGATAACGGCGCTTATAATGCCAAGATTGGATACAGTCATGCTCATGTCAGGTGAGGCTGGTTCGCTCGAAATAGTTAGGGAGAAACCTAACTATCGTTTTAGGATAATTGACGACGAATCTATGGAGTTTCTTACATGTTTCATATAAGGATAATCCACGGTATTGTTACCGTGAATGAAGAGAAACATTCCCAAACTGTACGTTTCTTAACAAACATTCAGATTTTTTTAACTATGGAAACGTCATTTATTGAACTGTGTTGTTCATTATACATTTTTTTCCACCAAGGAGAATTTGGAAGAATCTGTTTTCTATTTATAGACGGATCAGCAATTTTTGCAAATATACCTCACAGCATACTTAGTTTATTTGGAGCCTTCTGATTGCATAGGAACTAACCCTCCAACTATGTAGAATCTGGATAAATTGTCTGCGTGTAATGCTCAAAATAAGTGTTAATAATACTTTAAACCCTGAGCCTCCTTTAAGTTTCATTTGTATTTTTAAGGCTTCAGGCTTTTTTGCAGAAAATACGCATATTTGATTTAAGAAATCTTGAAAATATCGAACTGAGAATTTGATTTAACTATATGAAACTTTATTGAGTCTCAGGCCCCTTTGGTTCCAGACATTAGCTTGCTGCATCCAACTCTAATAAAATATTTAATTTAATAGAGCACTTCCCTTGAAAAGTGTTTTGATATTGACAGTATTTTGTTAGTTGCTATGTTCATTTACAGATGACGGCTTGTTTAAATGCGTATTTAGGAATCTACTATATTTTTTTTTTCTCCTTCCCACAGTGTCATTCCCAATTGTCAGTTCAGATCAAAGACTGCTCGTTTGAAAACATTTACAGCTAACCAACTGGATGAAATTAAAGATCCCTCTGGACTTTTTTATATTCTCCCTTTTCAGAAGGTAACTAGAAACATGCCTCAATATATGTACTATTGTTTTTGTTTTCCACTTAATTTTTTAATAATTATAACTTCATCCTACAGTCCCGATCACACTAGCTTGGGTGTACATTTTTTTCAGATTGCTAGAATCAGTTATTGTTTATATGAGATAAATAGGAACTGGCAAGAACTTTAAATATTTTTTCCGAAAGCAAAATATTTGTTAAAGAAATGAGAGGCTTTCACTATATATTGTCAAATATCATTTTTTTACACTTGATGTTTTATAAATTATATAGACAAAATATAGGTTGAAAAATTTGAATTATGCAAGTGTCGTATTTTTTCCTTTTTTAAAAATAGGGATACTTGGTTAATTGGGATGTTCAGAGACAAGTATGGGATTATCTTTTTGGAAAAGAAATGTATCAGGTAACTTGCATTTTTGTATACCTTGAATATAGATGTAAGACAATGGCAAAAGGCATTTAGATCATAGTATTTAAAACATTCACTACAATAATAGTTGACTGAAAACAAGTTTTGATACGGATAATCTGTAGATACCATTCACTGATTTAAAGCTTCAAGCGTGCTTTGTCCAAACATGCAACTGTTCATTGTGGATATTCATGAATATTGAAAATGGACTGCCAGTTAATTAATTATATTAATTTATTGTGGAAAATATATTTAAAATGGGTTGTTTATTCATTTCATTCAGCAATTTTGGGAGAGAGAGTTTCAGAGATACAATCTGAAACTTGCTCAGAACAGTAACTGAGTGGGACTTTAATAAAAAAGATATATCTTTAATATGGATTTTGAATTAATATCAGGAAGATATTACGTCTGAAGTTTTATTTTAAAATTACTTCCAGTTCTTGAAATGTTTTCCTTTACAGGTAGATTTTGTTGATACTAATATAATCATCACAGAACCTTATTTCAACTTTAGCTCAATTCAAGAGTCTATGAATGAAATATTATTTGAAGAATACCAATTCCAAGCAGTTCTCAGAGTAAATGGTGAGTGATATTGTCCACTGTCCAGAAAATGTATAATGCTTTTCTTCATTGTGACATTGACTCAGCACATTAAAATTTATTATGTTACTGTTAATAAAAATAACTATAATATGGTATATTATGTTGCAGCTGGAGCTCTTAGTGCCCATAGATACTTCCGAGATAACCCATCAGAATTGTGTTGTATTATTGTGGACAGTGGATATTCTTTTACACACATTGTGCCTTACTGCAGAAGTAAAAAGAAGAAAGAAGCAATAATAAGGTAAAATATTTAAGCATTCATAAAAGAAGAAATTTTGTTTTAAAAATATATGAAAATTTTGTTAACTTTTTTTTAATTTCCAGGATTAATGTTGGAGGAAAACTCTTAACCAATCATTTAAAGGAAATAATCTCTTACAGGTAAAGCATTTATTTTGACTCTGCAAAAGTACCCCATTTAACCCTATCATCAAACAAACAAATCATGCTAGATTAAACTCATATTCTTTGGAAGAACTGCTACTTAAATAGATCAGAGGGATACTGTGGTCATATATACCTGGACCTCAACAAAATCATTGATAGAATGTGTCAAGATACTCTATTTAATAAATGATAAAATATGGGCTAGAGGATTCTATTGTTAGATGGACTGACAGTTGACTGAATGACCACATCCAAAATATGCTAATTAATGGTGTCACTTTGACTTGGAGGGATATTGTACTGCTTTATGTTCAACATTTTTATCAATTATAAAATTTGCAGATGATGCAAAGCTGTAAGGAAAGCTAATACTTTAGATGAAAAAGAAAAGATTTGAAAAGATCTAGAACAGTGGTTCTCATCCTTTTTAATGCCGCGACCCCCAACCGGTCGTAAGTCGAGGACTACTCAACCAGTCGTAAGTCGAGGACTACTCAACTGGTGCAGCACCGTTTGCAGAATGGGACTTTTGGCGGGCTCAGCAGGGCAGAGACAGCCTGGACAACTCCTATTGGCTTTTGAAAGCCAATAGAATTAGACTCTATTCAAGAGAGTCTATTCTATTGGCTTTCAAAAGCCAATAGAATAAAAGGGAGTAGCACAGCTAAGGAAAAGGGGAAAAAAATGGCGGACTGCGTTGTTTGGCGACCCGTGAAATGGTCGTTCGACCCCAAATGGGGTCCCGACCCACAGGTTGAGAACCACTGATCTAGAAAATCTTGATAAGTGGATTAAAATTAATGATTGATATTAACAGGGAGAAATGTAAAGTTCTGCATCTTGGTAGGAAAAAACATATAGCACAGATATAGATTGCAGACCTGTTTGTGGTTGCTAGCAAGGATTGTGTGTTCATTAAACAGAAAAGTCCAGATCATGGGAGTAATTGTTCTATTCTGCACAAATCAGATCCCATTTACAATATTGTATTCAAATGTCACTACAGATCAAAAACGGACAGTGGCAAAGTAAATTCAGGGAAGAGTATGAAAACCAACCCCTAGGACAGTGGGGGCGAACCTATGGCACGGGTGCCATAGGTGGCACTTGTAGTCCTCTCTGTGGGCACACGTGCCATTGCCCCAGCCTTGCCTCCCCCCACGATCCCCTCCTCTCCAGCCCCCCTGAAGGAGAGTCGCTCTCGAGCGTGGCCCACATGGAGCAGCGTAGCCAAGGACATGGCAGCCAGGTAGCGTAGACAAGATTTTGCCCTCATGACCCATCATGCAGTTGATGCTGCAGGATGCAGGCAGAGGGTGTGGCCGCCATAGTACTGCTGGGCTGCCTGGGCGATCGGCGGGCCTGGAGGTGGTGAATGGTCCTGTGGACGGAGTGGGGGATGGGGGGCAGAGCGGGGGCGGAGCAGGGAGGTGGAGTGGGGCGGGGCCAGTTTTTGGGCATTCGCTCTCTAAAAGGTTCGCCATCACTGCCCTAGGAGAAGGAGTTAAACAATTTGGGTATTAGTAGTTTTCAAATATATGAAGATCTTACATAGAAGGAAATGTGGGACTTATTTTCTGTTGTTCCTAATAGCAAAACCAAAACCAATAGCTAAAATTATAAGAAAGGAGATACGGCGCTGAACAGGAGGTTGGAATAGATGACCATTTCAGGCTCTAATTATCTTTCTACGAACTCATTGTACCAATTTTGGAAACGAAATGTCATGTCCTTAAGATTCATATCCTTAAGATACAAGGAGCTATGAAGTTTAGCAAGGTTGCCCAACAAATCCTTAACCAGAATTTACTGAGAAGTCAAATAGATTACTGTAATGGTTGTAAATTTTAATTCTTCAATTTACCATTAAATTTAGTAGTATACCTATATCTGTAGAACATTAAATGGGTTTTTCCATAATCTTGCAGCGGAGTACGAAATACGAAGTTAAATAATTTTCCTTCAACACTTATAATAAACTGGCAAAGCAAACAGAATAAATAACTTTTTCAAAACTTGTAATTTTTCTAGGCAGCTCCATGTTATGGATGAAACTCATGTGATTAATCAAGTGAAAGAAGATGTATGTTATGTTTCACAAGACTTTTTCAAGGATATGGAGATTGCCAAGTATGCTGTTTTTAAATATATTAATTAAGTGTTGTTTATTTTACTAAAATTAGGAAATTTATAGGGCTTGATCCTGAAAAAGCATGCCACTTAGTTAGGCTGACATTTTTGTAATTAAAAAGGTACTCTTTGAGCATATATGAAATATTTTATCTTCTGTGCCCTATCATACATATCTGGAAGGAGAGACAAAAGATCTTTGGGAAGACCTTTGATTTAGATTTCAGTTTGTGATCTGATCTATGAGAGATGTAGTTTTCTAGTCCACTTTAAAGAGACGTTTTTTCCTATAAAGGTGACCTAAAATATTTTTAAATAGAAGAAATAATGATGTTCAAAATCAAGGATGTGCTACACATTTTTCTACTTCTACCATTTACCTAATAATCATTTTGAAAGCCCATTTCATTAAGACTCTTCAAGTTACTATACATTATATTAAAATGTAAACATTGCTGTGCAATAAATCGTTTTGAGAAACTTTTAAGAAATTTCTTAATGCATTCTGAATTCTGTTCCAGATTGAAAGAAGAAAATACAGTGATGTTGGACTATGTTTTACCAGACTTCAGCACAATAAAAAAAGGATTTTGTAAGGTAATTCTGTAAAATAATTATAAGTGTGTAAAGTTTTCATTGTGTGCAAGTAAATGACGAATGTTTGCCAATTTGTTATATGTTGTGTTTGCATATTAAATATAGTAGTGGAAAAACACTTAATGAACTCTAGATTTCATCACTATGTGTTTTACAATTGTTTGATGTAGCCAAGAGAAGAAATGGTGTTAAGTGGAAAGTACAAAACTGGTGAACAAATACTTCGTCTTACAAATGAACGATTTGCAGTTCCAGAAATACTCTTCCATCCTTCAGATATTGGCATTCAAGAAATGGGAATTCCTGAAGCTATTGTTTATTCAATTCAGAATTTGCCAGAAGGTACATCGATTAAAATGGTGTTGCATTCTAAAGGATCCATCTTTGAAGTATATTGCACAACAAAACATTTTATTATGCTTAAGTAGCTTACAGTTTTAAACGCTTCATTGTGTACAACTATTTTAATATTGATATTTGCAATAATTACATGTAGTTCTCAGTCAATAATCACTCATTCAGTGGCCATTTGAAGTTACAGTGGCACCAAAAAGTGATGCTTTCAACCAATCCTTTAGATCAGTGGTTCTCAACCTGTGGGATGGGACCCCATTTGGGGTCGAACGACCATTTCACGGGGGTCGACAAACAAGGCTGTCTGCCATTTTTTTCCCCTTTCCTTTGGCTACGCCCCTGGCACCCGGTGATGTATAAGTGGTTGGGGGTCACCACAACATGGGGAACTGTATTATGGGGTCGCGGCATTAGAAAGGTTGAGAACCACTGCTTTAGATTCTGACTGTCCCAGGAACCCCATGATCATGTAGTCGTGATCTGGATGCTTGGTAAACAGTTCACACTTACTACAAGAGTTGCAGCATCCCGCAACATGTGATTGCCATTTGTGACCTTCCCTGCCAGTTTTCCACACGCAAATTAATGGGGAAGCTTGCAGGGAAAGTCGCAAGGCACTCTGGTGTATTCATTCACATTCCAGTGGCTTTTTCTTCAGAGAAGCCTTACTGTGGTACCTGAACCCACTCCTCCCAACCACCAACACACCCTCACGCACACTTCCCCATTTGCAGCACCAAACTCAACGATAGTTGCCAATGCATCCAACAGCAGCCAACCCTGGCCTTGTCGTATTTGTGCTATGCCTTGACAACCAATCACACATCCTCTCACACTTGGTAGCAGCCACACCTAGCTTCCACTATGTTCATGCCATGCTTCAACAGCCATTTGTGCATTCTTCCCCCATCGGGAGCAGCCATCTCTCAGACTGCACAATAGCCACCCATGCATCTTCCCTTATTCAGCTCCAATCACTTAATTGTCCAACAGCGTACTGGTGATCCACCCAGGACTTGCAATTTTTTGCTAGCTTCCCTATTGACTTTGCTTATTGAAAACTGACAGGAAGTTGCAAGAAGATCCTCACTTAGTGATCTGCAGTCCTCACTTAACATCAGTGGGCTAAACTATATGGTCACATGACATCATACTTTTCAACTGCATCTCTTAGTGACAGAAATTCCGGTCCCAATTGTCATTATAATCCTAGAACTACCTGCACTTATATTAAGAATGTTACATCTGTAAAATTTGCGGTAGATAAATTTACAAACCAATATATTTTACTCTATAAACATAGCTTCTGTATACAAGAATTCCTGTTCTGATTTCTCTGATATCAAATTTAATAAAAACATTTTAAAAATGATTAAACATCTAGTTAAAATATAATGACACATTACATAGGAAACCATTGTTAGTATTAATGTGCTATTGTAAAACTCTAGTAATTATCTCTGCACTATCAAGAATGCTGAACAAAAGAAATTTAAAGATAACAAGTATTGTGAAATACAGTTTCACTTTAGCACTTTGTGGAAATAAGCAATTATGTTTGTAAAATACCTAAATATTAAGATAATGGTAAGAGTGCCTTCATGTGTTTATTCCAGGTTAATAACAGTCTTAAACCTATCAGGTAGCTGCTATTCGAGAGAATGACAGGCGTATGCATTAGTTATGCTCAGGTTAAGATCTTTTAGCAGGAGGACCATATTTGTTCTTGTTACACTCACAGAAAACTCCATAATATCAGCAATAATTCCAATTATTTTTTTAAAAAACAGACAAATCTGAATTATTTCTACCTCTCAGGCAAGTTTAAACTGGCAATTGCTCTTTACCATAAAATCAAACAAATTAATTCAGAATATTAAATTGTCTTAATCTGATTTGTCTACAGAAATGCAGCCTCATTTCTTTAAGAATATTGTTTTAACTGGTGGGAATTCTCTGTTCCCCGGTTTCAGAGATCGTGTTTATTCTGAGGTTCGATGCCTCACTCCAACAGATTATGATGTTTCAGTTGTTCTACCAGAGAAGTAAGTTGTCTTCAATTTACAAATAGTGTATCTTAATTTTAAAGTATTCTTCAGTTTTTATGTTAAAGTTTCTAATATTAATTTAGGAATGAATGTATTCTGGTTCTTTCTGGCACCGTTGGCGGTATACAGATGTACTCACCATATTATTACTTTTGGGGTAAGTGGTGTTATGCCACCTATAAAAAAGAAGTAGAAATAATTGGCAAAATATAAAAGTAGAATATAATAGAAAAGGGAAGAAAGACTAAAATTATTCTTTATATTTCTATATACCTTCCTGTCCTTACAAATCATTCTTGCTTCCACAATATCCATATAGTATTTATATATTGCCTTTTCTTCCTAAAATTTCTCACCTCTTTTTCAGGTTCTCATCTGCTTTGTCCACCCATGGTTTTCCTAATCTTCCCCTTTTGCTCAACTTATTTATTTAGTCTTTTTATTTATTTATCAAATTTATTTGCCATCTGTCTCATAGTTTAAGGCAACTCTGAGCAGCTGACAGCAAAATAAAACACACAAACTTCTGACAATTATAAATAAATTATCTCTATTAATGCACCAATCACCTCCACCAGCAACTTCTCCTTCAGGACCCCTGGCATAGCCAGGTTTTAAGACTTTTACTGAAAACTAAAAGAGAGAGGGTAGATCTTATTTCCGGTGGCAAGAGGTTCCTATTTTTGTATTGTGACTATGTCTTCATTGATGTTTCGTATATAAACAATGCACCGCCCAACATACTTTTTTTTCATACTGATGACTTACTTTGTATTCATTTATACTTGGCACTTTGTCTTTGAAGACAAAGGTATTAAATTGTGGTGTCAAATGTTTTAATGGAGAAATATTCCAAGGAAGGGGCAAAAGTTGGATTAGAAAATATCTGAGATGCCTCTCAATTTTCCAATGAAGAGCCCCCAAATATGGTTATTTAAAATAAACCATTCCCACTCCATTGAAAGTTTATGGTTTTTCTGATATACCCAGCTCTTACTCTTATATGTGTAAAAAATGGGGAAAAGCACACATACCTCCATTTTTGTTTCTTCCGACAAAGATTCAGCCATCACAACAAACCTTGTATTGTCCATGACATTTCTAAGCAAATACATAATTTAAAACTTCCCCATCGATTTAATAAATATTCTATCAAGGTGCACAATTTTATCTGCTTGCTCTGATTTTCTGGTTTTACCTGCTCACATGGTAAGGTATAATTTGCAATCATTTGGTTCATTTTCTCTGTGAAATACAACTAAATTAATCATAATCAACTTGATTTTCAGTACATTAATTTCACATGCATTATACAAGTAATGTTTCCTAGTATGGCTAATGTAAATATTAATTCATAATTTTTATATACTTCACTTTCTAAAAGGCTGTTTTATTTATTTTCAGTCCTATTACTTATTCCTGGGAAGGTGGAAAGTTGATTTCTGAAAATGATGATTTCGAAGATATGGTAGTAACAAGAGAAGACTATGAAGAAAATGGGCATAGCATATGTGAAGAAAAATTTGATATTTAAATAGATTACTTCCATATAGGTGTTATATTGTATAGATTGGCAAGATGTCTTCATTTGGTGTTGTGTTGTAGAATAACTAATATTGATGAACTGTCTATATTTAACTGTATTTACTTGTGTACATGAGTATTCAAACATATAAGTGTATATATTGGTTATTACTGATCACTGAATTCATGGCAAATATATGAATTCTAAAGAAAATAACTAGAATAGCTCCTTAAAGGAAGTCAGTTAATATATCAGAATATTTTGTGGCCGAGATGACTTACAAATTTTTAAATGTATAGTATATATGAAACTTTAATGTATATAGGAAACCTTAATTTTGGATTCTAGAAAGATAATTATGTATAACTCAAAAGCTAGTTCATTTTTAAAAATATCTAATCTTGATCAATTTAATAAATGGGTAATTTTATCTACAGGTCCTCTTTATTAGTGGAAAGGCAGCCACTACTAAACTGAAGACAAAGGTAACATACTGCAGTATCAAATCTCTTAATAGAGAAATATTCCAAGGAATTAAAATTGGAAGGGGCCATTCAAGTTATTGAGTTTAGACTCATTCTTAATGTAGGGATTTACATTCAATTCTCTTAGACTATCTAGCCTTCATGTTAACAAAGGCAAAGGTTGGACAGCCATTTAGGTGAGAAGATAAGAGAACTCCTCGCTTGAGTACAAGTTAGATTAGAAAACATCCAAGGTGTAACTCTCAACTTTCCAAAAAAGGGGAGCCCACCATGATTTTACTTGTGGGAAGGTTTTCCTAACATTCAGTTGAAATCTGTAATTTAAATTTAAATTTAAATCCATATCCTCTACTATGGAGTTAAATAGAAAAGTGCTAACATACAGTAGTGCTTCAGCTTTCTCAAGGTTATAAAAACCTAGCTCCATTAATGTGTTCGTAGAATTTAATTTGTAGTCTTCATTATAGTCCTAACCCTCCTTGCTGTTCTATGAACTTGTGATAATTTCTCCAAATCCCTTACAAAGTGAGTTCAAATCTGAATACAGAAAAGTAGTTGTAATGGGGACTGACAAAATTCTCAGTGCCAGATGTTCCAACAATATTTTATTATCAATTTCATTCTATGATGAATTTTAACTTATAATAGGAATGAATACACCTATATACAACCTGGCTCCTTTGGGTGGTTGTGGATGCATGTAGCTGGAGTCAGGAGATAAATGTTTTTCCTAGGGAGGGTGAAATCCCACTAGCCTCAAAAAAATGGTAACATGCTGTCTTTTGAAGAGGCTGTTTCTATCCAGCTGTATTGGATGACTTCTTATCTTCAAATTTGTCTTTTGGAGCAAATTCTACAGATGGTATGGAATTAATTAGATCTAAAATGAAATGGCTCATCTGATCCCTTCCAGTCTGGATTCAGGCAGGCATATGAGAAACAGGAATAATTTCTCTGGAGCATTACCTTCGGTAGAATCTGATTACAGATTTGCCACTCCTTTTTAGAGCCCTTAACAGCATTCAGTAATTCAACTTTGGTATCCTTGTCACCACTAGGAAGGAGAGTTATATGGGAATCTTTGTTAACATTCTTTGTACATGTAAAATAAAGACTCCTCAGAAATACTAAGACGAAATGCTACATTGAGAAGCAACCGTCAAGACTTTTGAATGCCAAGATGTTTATGCATCTTGGACTTATTTACATCTATGATCCATAAAACCTGCACATTCTCATAATTCTATTGTACCTCAGTTCCCATGTTGATCTTTAGAATCTGAGACTATATAAATGAATTTGTATCAGCAATTTCTGCACCAAGTGGCAGCGGCCAATGCAAGTAATAACTGCAAAGTATGCATTTATGTAATTTCATTATGATGGCATTTATGTAATTTCATCATGATGTATACAGTATGAAAACACATCATTTGTGTGATGATGTAATTAAGCATATATAATTTGCTCTCCCTCTTCCTTAGGACAGGGGTCCCCAACCTATGGGCTGTGGCCCGGGATGCACATGGGCGAAAATGGGGATGCTAGTGTTATGTGCTCCTGGCTACTTTCCTTCGTGACCAGAGGCAAGCTCGCCTGACCAATAACCAGCCAAGACACAGTGAAGGCCTTTTGTTTCGTTTATTGCAATAAGCGGGGAGAGAAGCTTTCAAAGCTTGGTTCTCTCCAAAGTTTTAACCCAAAATATCTCCTTCTTTTATTCATCCCTCTCACCGGCCGCTACAGCCCTCCTCTTTCCCCATTGGCTGAGGTAGTATGAGGTTACACTCTTTCCGTCCGCCTATACACATTTCCTGATAACATACTAAATCATATTCACATATACAATAAGAATAAGAAAAATTATTTTCCTATGGTTATTTTTAAACTCAATATATATTTATGTCTCCACAATAAGCTCTTTTCCTGCTTTTCAATTCAATTCATCATTTCAATTCATCATTCTCTTCTTATCTTATTTGGCCTGGTTTCCTACTTTCCTATACTTCCTGGCTAGCCATTTCCTTAAAAAACAACTATTTATACTTCCCTCTTCCTTTCTCAGACCCAGCTATTTTTGCCTTATCTTACTTCCTTAATCTCTTCCTGACTCTCACCATCTGTATTTTTAACTGACTGAAGATTTATCATATTGATGTATATTTATCAATCCCCCCTGTATTTCTGTATACTCTGATGAATCTTCATTTTTGGCTATATTAGATAACATAAATTTAATCTGTACATCTTCTCCAGAGATGTTTTTCGCTACTGCACCCAATGTTTTGGTGCAAAATGAAATACAGCAGGGTAAACATTGGAGACAGACACAACACATAATACTTATCACAACTATAAACACTAGTCCTATAAATATTTGTTTTATCCACCCAAAATTGGGAAGCCAATTTGTTAACCAACTCCAATCACCCCACATATTTTCATACTTTTGTTCAGGAGCTTTGGCCACATTCCTGATTCCTTTTGCAATGTCCATCACTGCTTCATGATTATCATCTATCTTTAAACAACAGTTAGTGTAATTAAATTTTCCACATACTCCTCCCTCAGAGGCTAATATATAATCTAAAGCCATTCTATTTTGAATTACAATTTCTCTAATTTGTCCTACCTCAGTAGCCAGTAATTCTAGAGCTGTAGCTGTTCGATTAGCTATTACCTCTACCACAGCTTGTAATCTTATTATTCCATTGGTCAAAGTATATAGCCCTCTATATCCTCCTATGGTCCACCAATGCCAGGTTACTGGTTGTAATTCTTTTATTATTCTATTTGTGGACCATACACCTTTCCAACTTTGTTCTGGGGCTTTAGCTATTTCCCTCTTTCCCCTATATTTTTTATATGAGGGGATTTGTATTTCATTATCCTTTTCATTTTCTAATAAAAAGAATTCAGGTATCACTACCCCTGGATAGCAGATTCCAGTCCAATTTGGGGGCAATGCTCGATATGCTTTTGACCCACATATCCAGTATTGACCTTTTCTTGCTGGCTGTCCCTTAGGAAAAGGTCCATTCCAATTGCCATCCCATCCAACTGGTGCTATAGTCATATATTGTCCTCCATGTGGCACAGGCATAGCCCACAAGGTTGTTCCTACACATCTATATACTTTCCCTTCCTTTGTACATTTATCTGTAGGCCATTTATAAATGTTCCAATATTCAGTGAATCCTGCAGTTAATGTTCCATTTATATGTCTCCAACCCCAAATCCATTCTGTTAACTGTTTTACTATACCCTCCTTATTCTGCTTTCTGCATAAGCATCCCAATCTTAACCTATTTGCTGCATAAGAACATTGTTTTTTAGTGTATGTTGTTTTAAGTTGAGTACAGTTTACAGGGCCTGTTGTAAGTGGAATCTTGTCATATGTTTGAGTCCAAATACATTGACTTTTCCCCAACATTTGATGTCCTTTACTTCTATTTAAACAAAAGAAGCCTGTCGGAACATTACTCAACTCCCACATATGTCTATTAGTATCAGTCCAATTGCTAGTGTAATCATCAGCGTCAGGGAGAAGGAAATGAGGGCTCAAAGGAACTGCTCTCATAGGCCATTGAGCTATCAAAGGCCTGCCACACACCCAACATTTGGTTAAATTGAACACCTTATGTACTTGTTCTGCAAATTCCACAAACAAATTTTTACCTTCATTTCCCAGGCTGTTCTGGTGTGTTGTCTTCAGTAATATTAGAAGTAGAATCCACCCCTCATGATTATTACACAGTATTTCACACCCACAAATTGATCCACAATTACAACAATAACAATAACAATAATCACTAGCTATTACAGAGATAACACATCTACCACCTAATTCTTACAATGTACAATTCTACGTTTTCAGTTTCTAATGGTATGACTTCTGACTTAATTATTCATTTTATTTGTAACAAACAACTTGTATTTCTCTGATGAGTCACCACCAACATCTTTGTTCTTCATCTGGGGTCACCTGAAATTCTAATAAAGATATTCAAAATAGGTAGGGGTTCTGGTCCACTACCCATTCAAATCCTTTTAAACGTGGCTTTCAGTCCTTGTCCTGGAATAACCATCCACCCTCTTTCAGGTCCAGTCACCACCTTTGCTCATGTGTAGTGAGTCCAACCCTTCTCAGCCCTCCGGACAGCAGATATAACAAGGAACTTCCTTTCTTTGGTTGTAGAAGTTCCTCCTTCCATTTACGATTCAGCACCCACTGTCCCGGCTGGATTTTATGGACTGGAAATTCCAAAGGAGTTCTTTCCGCCACCAAGCCTTCCTGTCAAAGAGAAGACAGAGACCCCAGTACTTGTTCTACATTTAGCTATTTGTCTCCCTCCTTTGGGAGTCTTAACCCTTTATTAACCCTTTTACATATCAAACATCCCTCTGTAGCCCTTTGGGCTATCCCATAAATTCCAAGGGTAGCATAGAATTTCAAATACATTTCTACCTATGCTTTAATTCCCCAATATTTCCCCTCATATAGTTTTTGGATCACCATTCTTGCAGTACCTTGTAATAACCACAGAATCCCCTTAAGACCATTTTTGTTGTTTGGTAATTATAAATCTATATCCTTAATCCTTTTACTATCTATTTTTCTTTCCCCTTCAACGATAATATATTCTAGATATTTTACCTCCTTTCATACCAATTGGGCTTTATTTGCTAAACACCCTCAATCCTTTCTTCTGCCAAAAAGTTGCTTTCCCATTTCTTTATAATTCCCAGAATAAATTCTTACTGGGAAGCTACATAAAAATGTATTTGCTTCCACATCTTAAAAGTGGTGGAAAGAAAAGAAAGAAAAAATCATTTGTCCTGTATCAGATAGACTACACTTGTTCATGGAAGCTCTATCAAAAATTGTCACATTTTTCTTTCTCCTCCCCCTTTCACCCTGATTAGATACCATGTTACAAAAATATAACTCAATAAACTTATTGTAAATAACACATTCAGGATTTTAAAAGGTAAAGCACATAGGCTCACCAATTAGCATTGGGCCAACATTTCTGGAATGCCTTTTGTCTCAGGCAAATAACATTCAAATCACTCTTGTGGCAGCACATCAAAGAACACCAGGATAGCTAAGAAGACAAAAGATTGTCTTCCCCTTCCCCCACTCACTAAACCAGACAGAGTAAAAATTTATACAAAACTTTTGCTTGAAACAGCCCTCAGGAGGAAAATTGCCTTAACATTTACAGAAGTGGCTTGCCAATACCTTCCTCCTAGGGTTGAACAAAAATAAACCAGCCCCAAAACACTCAGCCAACCCTCAAGGCTAAAGCAGGATTTGAAATCAAATCCAGCCTTGCAGCCTGTGGCTATAACCCTGAAACCAAATTGGTTTTCTATAAAGATTTCCCTCCCCCTGCTTGGCTCCAAGGAAAAGGAAAACAAACTGGACACACACAGTATGCAGCAATTAATCATCTTTTCTGCAGTAGCAAGGAGTCCCAAAGACACATATTTATCAAATGTTAAATAAAACATCATAAGATTGTTCCTTTGACAAGAATACCCTCAAATGCATTACTAAGGATAAATCCAAACTAAAATGCAAAGGAAAAATCACTGAAGCATGCCACACATACAAAAACAGAATATCAGAGTTGGATGGGACATTAGAGGTCCTCTAGTCCAACCCCTTACTGAAACAGGAAACTCTATCCATTTCAGACCCTATCAATTTCTAACCTCCTCCCAAAAACCTCCAATAATGAAGCATCCACAATTTCTGGAGACAATTATCCCACTGATTAATTATCCTTACAGTCAGGAAATTTTACCCAATTTCTGTTCTTTAAAAAAAACACACATACACACAAACGAACATGCAGACAGAAACTGCCTCCCCCCTTTCCTTTTTTTCTTCTTTCTTCTTTTTGCATCTCTTACTTCTCCAAGGCAGAAATTCTTGGGTTAAAAAAGTAACAAACTAAACATTTTTAAAAGGATTGCTCAAAAATTTCACCCCCCTTCAATAGCCCTTCCACCATGGGCTTTAAACCCATTCTTCCTTCCAATGTAATGTTATACTGTTTCTGATGTACAGCTTCTCCTGGTTGTTTAAGAGTTACTTTTAATGGTTTAATTTGAACCC